GAGGGGGGGTGGGGGTGTGGGGGTGGGCACAGAGAGAAAGGGAAGGAAGTGATGGCAGAGATAACACAGAGTGTGATATAAAGACAAGTGTAGAGTCACATCCGCAGAGGAAACACACAATAATGGCTCTGAGCAGTGTTTGACAGAGCAGGGAGTGATAAAACAGGAGTGGTAGCTTGATGATAGGAGGTAGAGGGAGCAGATAGAGAGATGCAGCTTTATAAAGTAGCTGGACAGCAGGAGTGGGCGGGATGCGGGAGCCCCCTCTGCTGCAATCAAGCCTCTGTCACCATCTGGACGCCATTTTAAAACCATCAGCTCTGGCTCCCCATGTAAACAAGGGCGCGACCCCAAACATGCTCCCCTCACTAAATGGGCTTTTGCTGGCAGCTGCAGACCCCAAAATGGCTGACTTTGTGGGGCGAGAACTGGAGCCAGAATGGCTGACTGACTGTATTACGGGGGAGGGCGTTCTGTTCTTCATTACTGCAGAATTTCTGACTGTGTACAAAAGATGTTAGATTGTCATTTATCCAACATGTGTTAGTAGCAGTGAGTTGAGCGCTCCAGCACCTCCATAACTGATGACTTTGAGGAAGGAAGGGATGCATGGTGTCTGGTTCAATTGAATTTTACATTTGTTCCGGTCTGTAGACAGATAGACAAGATAAGGACAGAGCATGTGCTGGCTCATCAGTAAATCACTATTCTTTTAATGCAGAACCAATTTGTGAGGAGCTAATGGTCATGAACATTAAGTTAACATGATTTAAAAGTGGAATCTAATCTTAGATGTTCATGCAATCTGTATCAAAAAGGTGTCCAAATTCTTTCCATTTAACCAGTAATAACAGTTCAGACAGCAACTAACAGACTAGACTTAGGGGGTCAATAAAATATCAAAAAATGAATAAATAAATAAAATAAAAGCCCAAGTTGACATCTTTAAATAGTTTGTTTTGTCCGACCAACAGTTTACAATCGGATGATATTTCAATTAAAATGATAGAAGACAAACCAGCAAATGCCAGAACCAATTAATCTTTGGCATTTTTGCTTAAAAAAAATACACAAATGACTAAGTGATTACTAAAATAGTTGTTATTAATATTCTGTTGATTGACTTACTGATTAATGAACTATTAGTTTCAGTAGGGATATACAGTTATATCACTAAGCCGACACAAATTTTATTTTGAAAAAAAAAGATTGTTGCTGCGAGTACAGGTCAACCAAACGGGTCCACCTCTTTGTCTAAAATAAAGCCATTGTGGCCTTTCCATTAACAGGTTCAATTTAATTGGCATTTAGATTAAAACAAACAAATAAGCAAACAAGGATTATGAATGGCAGATTATTGAGAATTATGATGTGCTTACATGGATGTGGGACAGAGATAGAGAGATAGAGTCTGACAGTGAAAAACAGAGGGAGCATGTCAGAGGGATGTGTGTATTCCTACGGGGGATTGAGTGTGTGTGCATGTGTGTGTGTGTGTGTGTGTGCGTGCGTGTGAGTGTGTGTGAGCAACAGAAAGAGAAACAGTTGAAGATCTGATGCAAAGTTCAGACACACGCACACACGCGTGCACACACACAGACAGACATATTGCAAGCAGCAGTGCGATAATGACATGGAAATGATATGGTAATGATATGGTAATCTGGCAACATTATTCTGCCCACCAGAGACTAGGAGGGAGAAGAACCTGCCACAAACTACACACAAACTACACACACACACACTACACACACACACACACACACACACACACACACACACACACACACACACACACACACACACACACACACACACACACACACACACACACACACACACACACCCACACACACACACACACACACACACACACACACCAATGCACTGGGATAAGGTGAAAACTGTGGACTGACATGGCAAAGAAGAGTTTCACCAGTGTGGGGGAAGGGGTGTGTCACTGTCGAAATGTTGATGGTGAGAGGAAGTCTCTTACACTGATTACACACAAACACATTTTTAGAGGTAAATTATAATATATTGCAAAGTGCACCACTTTTCAAAACGTACAAAAAAAAAAATATGTGCTGCACAAGTAAATGTTTATAAATGGAGGTCCACTCACTAGACTTTTTCCAGAGCTTTTGAGTCTTATGAACAAAAACTGAGCAAACTCGGCACCACAAAGTTGTTTCGTTCTGAGGTGTTTCTAATATTCTGTTCGACCCATTTATATCAATGTGTGTGGACTAAATAACAGAAACACCTGTCAGTATGACACAATAGTAAAATTCAACAGCATCACAAACTGCAGCCTCCAAAATGACCATACAGCTGAACTAACATATTAAAACCTTCATGAAGGTAGGATTTATTGCTGGACTGTAGTTTTAGACTGCATGGTTTAAGCCAGCTCTACCTATATAGATATATAGAGTATATATATTACAGTCTGAACAAACCTAAAAACAGACTTAAAGCATCAAAATAGAGTACACCATAAAGGACTGGACTATTAATAGACCTTTTATTACACAGTCTGAAACTTTTTACGATGAATACAACACTGCCACCCTCTGGATGAACCTCTATACTGCAGTATTTATAAAGTACACTATATACAATATACTGACTGTACAAGAAGGGAGGAATAATTGTTACATGAGTATAAGAAAATGACACGAAATTAAAGTGTTAAGTGGAATTACAGATCTTGAGACTTTTATCAATATGCATGACTATGGGTAGTCCATTAAAAAATATAATTTCAGCAATAATATAAATAAATAAATACATACTAAACAAAATATGTAATAAATACATATACACAGTATTTTTCATACATACATATGTATATATATATATATATATATTAAATATTAATATAATTCAAATATACATATTCTGTGTAGCTCACTAATAAACTAAAACTAACTATAAACCTAAACTAAAATCCATTTATTCTTCAGGTGACTTAGTGTTTATAGAATGTAACTGAGGTTTTTCCAACCCTTTTGTATGAAATATTAAAGATTACAGATTTGTTGTGATATTTGTATCTATTTAAATTTACTGTAGGATTTTAATAGTGAATATACAAGTAAAAGACTCCGATGATTCAAGTCATTCCTGGATGAAGGAGTAAAGTAAGAGAAAGGAAATAAACAAAAACAATCCACAGCATGAAAGTTCATTCTTGACCTTGGAAACTCAAAATCTTCCAGTCTACAAGCTTTTCCAGAGCTTTCAACAGCATCTTGTAGTCATATTTAGTGGATGTTGTTTGCTCAGTTTTAATTATTTCAAACAACTCCTACAATGTCTATACTGTATATTTGTGTTTTTTTTTGAGTTTGCTGCGTAAACTCCATTAGCTGAGGGAGGCTGCAAGATGCATAGGAAGAAGGTAAGTGAACCTTCAGTGAAGATTTTTTAAATGTGAAAAAATAAAGCTATTTCCAAAGGTAAACTGAATGTTCCCATCCCATTTTTCTCTCTGTCTTCCTCCCTAGTTGTCAGTGTTTCCCTAGCTACTCCCCTTTAAGTGGCTGTGATTGACAGGTGGGCTATATCCATGCAATATCACCCAGCGCACGTTCCTATTCCCTCCTGGAGCCTTCATCCGCCGGTCAAATTAACCTTCCGTGCCAACGGGAGGGGGCCCTGCGTGGGCCAATCAGCAGGTGATTAGGCCGGGGGTGGGAGGGGTGAGGGGTCACCGCGATGGGGCCATCGCAAGCCTGATTGGTTTCAATCAGCGGCCAGCCGCAAGGACAGCTGGGAGCTGAGCCGCACTGAGCGCTAATCAACGCGTCCCACAGTGAGGCATGAACACTCACTACACACACACACACACACACACACATACACACACAAACAAGTAGATTGATGTTGGCATATACACACTGACAACACGGACGTCACTGTGTGTACACATTCACACAGAGACACACAAATACACACAGCAAGACATGGGAAGCAGAAATGAACAGTCAAGACCACAACAGATAAACAGAAAATCCCGTAATGGAAAACCAGAGAAAAGAGAGAGAGAGAGAGGGGGAGAGAGAGAGAGAGATACTCAGAGCAACCACAGAATCTCACAGTAAATTGAATGACTAATTGCATTGGATTCGTTAATTTGACCACTGGCACATCTGATAGGGACCCGTGACGTTGGTTATCAATGCTCTGTGCTACAAACCACAACAACACATCTACTGTGATGTCTGAAAATGTGGAACAATCCAGATTCTCTCCGCTATGTCTCGTGTTATGCTACTTCTTGTTCAAATCGCAGTAAAGCACAGCGTTGACCAATCACTGATCAGATGAGATGAGAGAAATCACAAAGAGCATATTATATAGCTGCTCTTCGTGGGTTGAAAGTGGAAAAGAGACACTGATCTGCTCTGGTTTCTATTCATGACAGTGTTACTGACTCCTTTGGGTGGAGAAATGTCATACAGCACAGCTACAGGAGGAGGATTTGGGTGTTTTGACCTGCTCAAAGTTGTTTTTCCAAACGCTTTGTTTCCAAAAATGTGAAATAACCAGTTTCACAGCAACACTGCCACCAGCATTTCATATTTGACCTATTAATGGCACTGTCAACATGCCATTGCTCGTCTCTTCTTTTACTCCCTTCAAGGAAGAGAAAAATATAAAACTACTTCCTTCAAAAATACACAAGGAATGGCAAGACTGTCTTTGAATAGGTTATCTCTCATTTCTCATAACATTCAAGAGATTCACCTTTTGAATAATAGATAATTAGATAATTAGTCACCTTTGTCGTCACTTTTTCCATCTTCACAAGGTGCAGTATGAGACAAAGGTAAACACTAATTTCAGAGGAACTGCAATGTATATATCATTTATACTTTATTAGACTTGAAGATGAGACTGACTTAAGAGAAAAGTTCATTTTAATTTTTTAACATATGATTTCTTTTCCGGTCTAAGGTTTATGTGAAAGAATCTCAATAGAGAGCTAGACCTAGAAAGATATTCTTTATTTTAGATATTTTAAATAGATGAATACAAAAATATAACAGAGAATACAGTCATTACAGAGTAGAGTATTGATTGGTGCTGCTTTGAACAGGAGTTTTTGTACATCAGGAATAATCAGAATCTAGGACAGCCCACTACAGTGTTTTGTCCCATTCATCTATTGATTTATTACATCATTAAAACATGACTATAATCAAAGCTTAAATGTGACAAGTTATTTTGTGCAATTTACCATTATACTGTATACATAAAGATGTGCTACAATCATTCATTTGTGAGTATTTTTGTCATGAAATACTTTCGATATGAAATTTGGAGCTGCTTATCAGCAACAATTGTGATAATCAAGCAATCGTTTCATTCATTTTTCAAGTAATAGAAGTGCTACTCTGAAAGGATGTTATTAGGGCACTGTGGTGCTTTGAGCTAAATGCTAATGTCAATTAGCTAACATGCTCACAATGATTTAATACAAACTTGCGCTTTTGTAGTCATGTTGAACAGCTTAGTTTAGCTTTAGTTTTCAACCTCATGGTGGTCATAAATAAAAAGTTAAAGGATCACTTTGTTATTTATGCTGGCGAGCTTAAGTATCTCCTTAACTGCCTCTTATTGCTGTTGCTCTGCAGCGTTATGAGCCGTGGATTCAAGGCTGATAGAAAGAAGGATGACGGATGAGTACTCATGGATGGGATCTGGTCAATCTTTTGATCTGAACTTGAGATTTGTGACTCCACATCCACAGCAGTGTTTTGGATCCCTCCAGAGCTAGATGGAGTTAAGACCCAATTACCAGCCTCATCCTTGATTTGACTCAAGGAATAATTCCTAACATCCTGGCGGAAAGCAGCTTCTGTGTTTGCGTTCTGCTTGAACAGAATAATGTAACACTTTACAAAGAACTGACAGAACAGGATGCCATAGGCTGAGATGAGGATGACGACCATCTCCACTGCTGGATGGTAGCGGCCTATGACATTGACATAAACTGGGCCAAAAATGATCCAGCAGATGAAGTAAATCAGCATAGCAAAGGTGATGAACTTTGCATCATTGTAACTTTCAGGCAGCTTTCTGCCCTTGAAAGCAACGCCAAAACAGATGAGGGCTAAAACACCAATATAGCCTAGCATGGCTCCAAAAGCAGAAAAGGACTTCTCACTGCAAATGAGCAAGCGCTCGTCTTTCTTACTCAGTTCCTTCCATTCACGTACTGGAGGCCCAAGTGAAAGCCACAGGGCACAGATCAGCACTTGACCTGCCATGCATACTGCAATAATGATATAAGGCTTGTAGAGCTTCTTCAGGACTCTCTTAACGCTGGGGTCAAACTCAAAGGCCAAGATGATCTTAAAGGACTTGACCATGATGCAGGAGACACACATGGTGAAGCTCAAGCCAAACAGTACCTGCCGTGCTTGGCACTGCTTGTTGTTGGGTTCACCACCAAATAAAATCACACTCACAAATGTGCTCAAGAGAGAGAGGAGGAGGATGATGCAGATGGGTCCCACAGATGCACGCACAACAGGGGTATTCCAGCGTGCAAGGAAGATGATCCCAACAACAATGGTAAGCAGCGCTCCTAGAGCAGTAAATGCCTGCAGCACGTGATGATACACATCTGTCCAATAAAAGAAAACAGTTTTCTTACGGAGACACTTGTCACGTTCCTTGGAGGAGTAATCCGTGTTTTTGTTGCACTCATAACACTGGGGGGAATCTGCAAACAGAGGACAAATGCTCATTATAATCTTCCAAGTTGGACATACTGTATGTTACTCCTTATAGCTAACAAGGTGGCAGGCCTTATAGTATCAGTATTTGTCTGGCAGAGTTATCACTGTTTTGTTTTGTATTGCACTATACTTTTGTCTGATACATACTGCTGGTGTTGGAAAAGTAGTTTTCAGGACAGGGTTGGCATTCATAGCAGCAAACAGGCATGCCCGGAATCGACTGTTTCATTTGGCCTGGGCGACAGCTTTCCGAGCACCTGGAAACCACATCTCCCTGACAAGAGAAAGTATCCTCATCATTTTTGGTACATTAATATGAGTAGAGTCATCGAGAAGTAGGAAGAACATGACAGGGAAAGACAAAACAAGGATCTGCAACCAGGCTAGTGGCTCTGTGAGGATGTACTTAAGCAGCATTTAATCAACCTAATACTTGTCAAAACATTTCACTGAAAAATAAAAATGTCAGCCTCACAGTGCCGCCAGAGGAATTTATCAAAAGTGGTAAGTTTCCTCTGGGAACTATTAATGTTTATACACAGTTTCACAGCAATCCATCCAACAGTCGCCAAGATATTTAAGTCTGGGCCACTGCTAACATGGACTGTCACTAATGTGGGTACATAGAATAGAAATAAAAGAGTGATATATAAATGTTAAAAGAGTCAACTAACTCAACAGAGGAAGGCAAATCCTTACTGTGACATTATTGACATCTTCAAATGCCTTCTGTGAGACGAAAGTCAGGCTCTCATTTTCTATACTGTAATGAGCAACAACGTAGTGCACATCAACAAAGGTTGGTGAAGTCTGCCTCCACAGGATGATATCATATCCTGAGTTGAGGTCACCCTTGCTGTCGAATGAGTAGTTTTTACCATGCATGAGGAAAGTTGCTTTCCTTAAGGCTTCTCGAAGCTGAAAGTGGAAAGTGTTGAAAACAGTGAGTTTGTGATGATGCTGAAACAGAATTTCATTTTCTTTGAGGCATTATATGTCACTTTATTTCACATTTAGTCTTAGCGGTCATCATGTGTATTTATTTGTGTGTGTGTGTGTGTGTGTGTGTGTGTGTGTGTGTGTGTGTGTGTGTATGTTTACCTCCACGGGATCTAATCTCTCGTTAGTTTTACAGTCCCGGTTGACGCAGAGGTCTGCAACAGCCTGAGCAATCGCTCTAACTGCCAACTCAACGCTGAACACAGCATATGGATATATCTTCTTCATTAATACCTCAGTGGCTGTGGCATTGGGATTCTCACTGTGCTCCAGTCTGACAGGGTGGTCGAGTTTCGTACCCACTTCTCCCCGTGGGGAACTGGTGTTCAGTGCAGCTTTCCATCTCTTATTTTTTGGTTCTTGTTCCTTTAGAAAGTTATACAAGAATGTATTGTTCTTGTGGTGCTGTGGGTTTACATCAAGATTACTGAGATACTGCTTCAACCTGGTTGAGTTTCCAGACTTAAGAGTTGTCCCAAATATTGTTCCTATGTCACTCAGATTATGGTTTTTCACTACATCAGCGGTTTCTGACCAAATGTCACTGGCCACCCAAACTTTCCCTCTGCCTTCAGGAACCTTGAGAAGATGCTCAAAAATATACATCATGTGGTGAGGTCTGGCGAAGGACACAATGACTGAGACATTTTTATTCTCAGTAATTCTCTTGACTGCAGCACTGATGCTTTTATTGAGTCTTTTGTGACCCAGATCATCTGGAATAATAGAGGTAAAGGCAAAGCAGATGTTTTTGTTGGCTGCATGTTTCTGGAGGTGTTCAACTATGTAGCGCCCGTAGTCACTATCAGTTGTCACTACACCAACCCAGGTCCAGTTATGATTCTGTAGAATCTCAACGATGGCCTGCGCTTGGTGATCGTCCTCTGGTACTGTCCTCATAAAGCTTGGAAAACGCGCTTTATCACTCAGGACACCAGAGGTTGCACCATAACTTATCTGTGGAAATATTACAAAACATCAGTCATATAGATACAGTTACACTATTTATTCTGTATATACGCAGCAATTCAAACAAATGTTGTTTGCATTCATATACGTGATATCTTAAGAAAGTACTAGTTTGACTCTTTTGGAAATATGCACGTACAGTATTTGCTTTCCGGCTCAGAGTTAGATGAGAAAATTAATGCCACTCTGTATGATAAATATGAAGCTAGAGCAAGCAAGGGCAAAGAGCTGGTCCGGCTCTGTGTAAAGCTCACCAAATCCACCTACCAGCACCTCTAAAGCTCATTGATTAACGCTTTATATCTTTGTTTTATCTGCTCAAAAACTGAAGTATAAAGACATTTTACACTTTTTGGGCTAACTGTTTCCCCTTGTTTCCAGTCCAGCTGTTGGTATGAGCCTGATATTGATGTTCTCATTGATGTTCTCATCTAACTCTTGTCAAGAAAGTGAGTAAGTTTATTTCCCCAAACGTTAAACTATTCCTTTAGTATTCCTGAGCCGAGCCAATTTTAGATTTTCTGGTGAGAATTTTCCGCAGTTTAAATCTTAGCTCTGAGGTTTGTGAATGCAAAATCTGTCAACTGTGATTCAGCAACTTTACTTAGATCAAGGGTTAGTCTCTGAGCTCAGTCATACCTGTGGGATGTACTCCAGGTGAAGATGCCTTGTAACCGCTATGGATATCTCCGAGTAGTAATCACCGACAACGGCCAACACAGGTGGTTGGGTCTGCTCTGTACCATCTAGGTAAATTATATTATATATTATATTAAAAAATATTATAAGAAATTCTTTGGGTTATGACTTTAGAATTACTAGAATCATCATTTGAGTAGCAGAGAGTAAAAATAACTTGATACACATAGTCAAGTCAACAGAGAAATAAAAGAGAAGTAAATGCATTTACAAGTGATACTTTGCATTCTAAGCAAGAAATTAGCCTCCCCAAAAAAAACATATTTCATCCTATTGTCCATTTTTTTATTTTTAATGAAAATTCTCCTTTTGTAGTTATAAAATCTCTTTCACAGTTTATGTTCTACATATCCCACTGATCCCAAAAGTGTATTTTTTGTCCAGTTACTGATGGAAGTCTATCATGGTAGATTCCTAAATCAATGTGTTACATAACTACTTACCATTTCTCTTCATGAAGGACTGGGTGTTCATCAGGGCAGTGGTAACATCATTGCAGGAATCCAGTATATAATATCCCAGGGTGAGATTCCCCAACTCATGCCTCGTATTTACATCCTCCACCGCCTGCACCATAATCAGAGACTGGACCAGCCGAGCTATGTTGAACCTGTGGGACCCAAACACAGAAATTACGTATAAAAATGCTTTGACACACAAGTTCAAAAAGTTACTGCTCAATGTGCTACAGAGTAAACCACATTACCTCACACATCAGGGTTAAAAACGTACCTGTTACAAATCCTGCTTTCAGTGCCATCCTCTCTCGTGGTGACATCAACACTTTCATGTATGGGAAACAATCCCCCAATAATAATGTCACCTGGAGCTGTGGCAGAATCGAAACCTGTCGCCCTAAAAACATGGTTTAGTAAAACTAAGGAAAAGATGTAGAAACTCAGGAAATGTCTCATCTCCTTCCTGTGTTCTTTTGGTTAGCGCAAATCTTCTTCAAAGTATCTCAGATTTCCACAATCTCTTCTCAAATATCACTTGTGTATATTTGAGTGTTTGTCTTTCAGGTGTGTCTGAAGAAGACAGAGGTGTCAGTGAATGTCTTGAATTTGAGAAGCCACTGATCATTTTCCCAGCCTCTTTTGTGAGGTGAAGTAATGCATGTGGAATGTAGAAAATGTTGCCTTCTTTCTGCTTACGCTTATATGTCACCACTATTCAACAGATGGAAACACATTAAAACTTTTTTGGGGGGAATTTTAATTTGTTGAATATACTATACTGAGCCTAAATGTATTTCCATGTCTGTGTTGAAGTAGTTCCTATGACTTTAATGCCCCAACAAAACACAAAGGTATTATGTTGCAAAATAATTTAGCAAAACTCTTGCAAAGCTTTGCACATCTGGATTTTGGAAGTTTATCCCATTGTTCTGGACAGATCCTCTCAAGCTCCATCAGATTGGATGGGAAGCATCTGTGAACTGCCAGTGAACTTTGTCTGTTTGGCTGCATTCATCCATGCCTCAATTCTGACCACTCCCCACCGCTGAGAAGCCCATATAGCATGGCGCTGCCACCACCATGCTTCACCATAGGCACGGCATTAGACAAGTGTTGAGCATTTCCCGGTGTTCGCCAGAGACTGTGTTTATTGTTCTGCCCATCTTTGTCTCATCAGAGCAGAGAATCTTTTTCCTCATACTCTCAGAGTCCTTTAAATGCCATTTGGCAAACGCTAAGCAGGCTGTCATGTGCCTTTTACTTAAAATGGCTTCTGTCTAGCCACTACAACATAGAGGCCTATTTGATGGTTCTTGGCTTGCCTGGTTACTCAGTTTGTTCAGATGGCCAACTCTAGGAAGAGTCCTTTATACCCTTGCCCCGATCTATGCCTCTTAACCAAAATTTTGTAGCAGAAGTATACAGCGAGTTCCTTGGATTTCATGGCTTGGATTTTGTGTGTGCTTTTCTAAACTATGTCCAATCAATTCAAGTAAAGTTCTGTATAACTATAATTCTATATAACTTCTCTAAAAGTTCTGATTGTCTAAACTTTTAGAATTTTAGAATAACTTAGGGTTTAAAGAAAAAAAAAGCATGTAGTTACAAAGGGGTAATGATAAAAGATTCATTAATCCCACTTAGTTCCTAGGTTTTACAGTGAAGCATCTCATTCAACTGAAACTATGGAGGAGGATACAGCACCTGTTTCCTCTTAGAGGATTAAAAACAAATCTTTGAAAAGTTAAAGGAAGTAAAGAAACTTGCTGCCCCTATGTGTGATAAACCGTAATTAAATTGATAAAAACATAATTTGTTGAATGTACTATATCCTGCTAAAATCTATTTCCTTTTCTCTTCTATTTTCTTGTCTCCTTGTTTCTATTACTTTCTTGCTCCAGCAAAACAAAAGGGTATTCTGTTACAGTTTAGTGCAGCAAGTACAATTTTGAGATACTTGTCAATTATCTGAGTATTTCCCATCCATGCAACTTAATACTTAATATGTCAGAGGGAAATTTTAGACCTTTTACTCCACTTAATTTATTTGACAGCTGTTTTTTTTCAATGTAGTTAGTATTCAATTAATTACTTATTACTTAATTAATTTTTTTAATCTGATTTTACATTAATGTTTTTAATGTTTTTTCATGTGAAGCTTTTGGTGCATGTCATTTCTTTGTTGAAAAGCAGTTTGAGCTGCAATTCTTGCAGAGATATTAGTATATTTCAGCCCTCTTTTCAACATACTGTAATTACTGTGTGAAGCCTTCACACAGGTTTTACATTAAATTATTTACATCAGGGTTTTTTAGTTCTTAATTATACCATCAGCATGCAACAAGGATAGAAATCCATCTTACTCTAGCTCTGTTGAGAAAAGCTCTGTTGTCTGTTTAGTTACTAGTGTAGTTACACATGTCAGTGTGGTTTTGAATGAGGTTTTCTTACTTCTGGAACAGAACCTGGAAGTTACAGTTTCACTTTGTTGTTAAATAAGTTAGATATAACACTTGGTATACCATTACCACTAATAATACTACTGTCAAACTATTTTTTCAGCCAGCACTAATAATTTACCTATAGTGCTATTGTTGCAAATTTTCAAAATTGCCCAAAATATCCAACTTTTTTTGAAGTTTTTACAGGACCTCCCCCAGTGTTGGGGTCCTGGCTGCTTAGTTCCACTTTCCCTTTACTACTATGCCACTGCTTCCACTTCTGCGATTGTGCTACACCCAGTTGTGAGTATTTTCCCCTCCTCGTTCTATTCCCAGCAGAAGGAAATTATTACATTTGCGCCCAACTCATACATGTTCAGAAAGTCCCCAGGACTCGCTTGTGCCGTTTCTCGACGCGAGGATTGACTGCAACACTGAGCACGAGAGCGTCTGCGCATACGCGGAACATAAAGGGGAAGGGACACAGATGGGCTTTATTGGTATTTACAGTAAAAAGAAAGTTTCCTTCCCGTGAGCGTAAAAAAAGACAGACTTACAGGTAGGAATGCTTATATGCCACACACCTACGCAAGGTACCTTGTAATGCGAGTTATGTGCTTTTCAGTCAAGTTAATCAAGTTGTGTCAGCGGATGTTGACGTTGACATATCCTTCCTTACTTGAAGCCGTTGGTGTAGTTAAGCAAAAATCATTAGCATTAGCAAATCTGTAACTTAAGAGTGTAGCTTTCACGTAAGTGTTGCTTTATTAACCGGTTCAATTCAACTTAATAAGCTTTTGCTTTACTTTCAGTTTGGTGAGGTAACTATTATAACACTACTTGCTTGTCACTGTTCAGCCTCAAAATAACGAACAGCTGTTAGAGAGCGAAGAGGTGTCACTCTGACAGAAATGCCTGCAGTCGAACTAATAGTAGAGACATTGCTTTATCTGTAAGCTCTATTGTCATTTTTGTTGCTCGTTAAGTTTAATGTCAGGGTTAAAAGACAAAAGTTAGCGGTTATATCATACTTTATAACTTATAACTGCGTCCTCGTGACTCCGTGAGCTTGGTCCATCTATTTCTGGAAAGGTGGGGCGCGAGGGCTCTGTTCACGACTTGTGACGAGTGGGATTAGACATGGACTCCAGTGCTGAAACAACACAGTCACAAACTGTTGTTTTATAATTGCGTCAGTCCCGGTCACGCTTTAGGGACGAGAAAGTCCCTTGATTCTGCGTTCAGTCTTAGAAAAATTTAAAAAACATAGGCGTAAATATGCTGCTGCCGCCGATGTCTTTCAGAATACACTAATGTACACAAGGGGTCTCAAACTATGGAGCAAGCAGTGGTGGAATGTAAACTAAGTACATTTACTCATGTACTGTAATTAAGTACTTCTTTAAGGTACCTGTACTTTACTTGAGTACTTCTGTTTCATGCTACATTTAGAATAAAGTCCAATGATTTACTGTACATTACTGTGCAAAAGTACTGTATATTTTGCTGAGTATACTTAACATAGCTTTACTTACTTAAGATGGGATTTTGAATGCAGGAAGTTTATTTGTAGCAGAGTATTTCTACACTGTAATGTTACTTTTAATGAAGTAAAACGTCTGAATACTGTATTGAATCAGCATCTAGGCTTTCACAGCACCCAAAGACAACACTTTTATCACTACCTCCTTGCTGGTTTGAATTTTTAGGCCTCTCTAAAAATGTTGGTCTAGACCTGCTTCATATGAATAGTGCCCTGAGATAACTCCTGTTATGATTTGGCGCTATATGCAAAAATTCAGTCTGTAGTTACAGGAAAGACATTAGCACCTAAAAAGCTGCTCAGCAGTTGTGATGAAAAGCAGCTGCCTCTTGGTTCTCCAGTGGCATATTGTGCCCGTGGTAGGTCAAGGAGCCTGCTGTGGGGAGCTGATGATTAACTGATTAATTAATTAGTTGACTGACACAATAATTTGATAATCGATTAATCGTTTAAGTAATTTCTCAAGCAAAAACCTCAAATATTTGCAGATGACAGGTTATCAAATGTGAGAATTTGCAGGTTTTCTCTATTTTATGTCATTATAAATTCAATGTCTTTAGGTTTTTGACTAAGTCATACAAAACAAGGCATTTGCAGATGTTATACTGAGCTCTGGGAAAGTGTTTTGGGCATTTTTAACTATTTACATTTTTTCAGACTTAACAAAAATAGTTATTCATTGATAATGACAAAAATTGCTAGTTGCCACCCTACTACACTGTGCTGTTAAGGTCTGAAGTGTTGCAGATTATCATTCCAAGGTGTGTTAATCAGTGAAAAAAAATCTGTGTACATGCTGCATAGGCTCATGGTCTGGGACCCCTGATGCAGGCAATGCCTTATATTGCCTTTATGTTTCTCCTGCAAAGACAGTGTCCCTCTGTGTTTACTCTTTTCAGTGTGGCAACAAATTTAAAAAATCCCAATATTATATAATTTTTAGGGCAAAAAATAATCAGCACCAATGTTGAAGTCATTTGTTGAGAAAAAATGTCAAATATCTGCAGGTTCCAGCCTTTCAAGTGTAAAGATTTTCTTATTTTTCTTATTACATTTAAAAAAAAAAATTATATTTTACTTTTTTTCCCCAATGTTTGTACAATTTGAATATGTCACCTTGGACTCCTGGAAAATGTGACCTTTTTAGGCATTTTATCACCTAAACAATTAATGGAACAAGAAAAAATAATCAACAGTTTAACTGATAATGAAAATAATTGTTACTAGCCCTACTATTTTTTGGGAATACTGTTTTTCACTGTTTGGTTCTCAGCAGTCATTTCTTAACATATAGTACTGTCAATGTCTGCAGACAAACTGCTGGTTCCACTGCAGTGATGTCTTCCCTGTGGTGGCTGGTGTCAAATGGCACCTCTCCCTCTGGCTTCCTGGACAACAGTACCTGTTTCAGCTCCTCACAGAGCACTGTACTCAATGCAGACAACTTTGGAGGCGTACCAGTTGTGCTACTGCTCGACTTCTCTGTCTTTCTGGTATTTGTCTATCTGTTTGCTTCCTATCTGATTCTGATCAAGTTAATGTGGAGTTAAAGTCTTGTGACCCTACTTATCTGTACTGTCTTGTTTTCAAAGGCTGAAAATACTTAACATTTTCTTTTCTCTTCCAAATAAATATCTCTTCAAGTATACAAATAGCACAAGAAAGTTCTTTCTACTTGGCAATAATGATCTATAATGACTTCTCCTGCCACCACAGGTGTTGCTGACCGTCTTCTCTATTATCAGGAAGAATCTTTGGGACTACGGGCGTCTAGCACTGGTCGCAGACAACGAAGGGTCAGTTCACAACCCGACAATACTTTTTACAGCCATGGTGTCATGATCTCAGGCTTGGGTTAGGTGTGGTAGACATACTGGTTAGAATAAGTATTGTTTACTAAGTGTAATCGTGAATTGAATCATCAAGGTGACATTTCTGTCAGTTTGATTTCATCCTTGATACTGAACTTTGTGTTTCAGATTCACTGAGTCAACACACCGTCGCTTTGGACGCATGTCATCCTTTATGTCCAGCGTTGATGACTTGGAGTATGAACAGGTATGAAAAAGAAAATCTCTGTTGTTAGTTCCAGCACCTAAATCAATATTCATGAAGCATGAAAGACTGATCGAGATGACAAGTCAACACTGCTATTAAAGATTATTTCAGTTGAATGCACTTTAGTTATAATTTTTTCCCACACCTTGCTGGATTTAAGATCACTGACAATGATATCCCACTGTATAAATATATTTAAGTCTCAACATGAAGAAACCAAATATATTTATTGTATGTTAGTTTAATCAAAATTTCCCTTTCTCTTTAGGGATTCTGCTCTTGGCTGCCTTACATCCTCAGAATGGAGTGAGTGACTGTGGTTTGTTTTCTCTTTTGCTGGTCATTGTTTCTCATCCATATCTATTTTTATCATGCTGCACAAGCCATGTGTTGGTTTCCTCAAATCATTGTGTTTGTGTGCATGCGTGTGTGTGTTTGTGTGTGTTTGTGTGTGTGTTTGTTTCAGTGAGGAAAAAATGAAAGCCAGATGTGGCATGGACGCTGTTCACTACCTGTCCTTTCAGCGTCATCTGATCGTCTTACTGTTGGTCATAACTGTCACCTCCTTGTCAATCATACTGCCTGTCAACCTGAGCGGAGACCTGCTGGGTGGGTTTGACATCACTCTCTGTCTCTGATTAAAGTCCAACATTACTCAAGTGTACAATAAAAATAACAGCCAGTGTCTGTTAATAGCTAATATTACAGTTCCTTTACATATTTTTAAGGGTATTTTATGTACTGATTATGGGTCAGGTGTGTATTTTATGGTGCCTTCAAATGTGAATCATGCAATCAAAACCAAGGAGCTGCACTGTCCACTTCATAATCAGTGACTCGTCTCTAAATTGCATATTTCTTCTGCAGGTGATTTTGACTGAACCGTGGCTTAGGCTTGCTTATAAATTTGATCTTTTTCTGTTCATGTTCTTGTCTCTACTTACATTTTATTTAAAAAAAAAAATGCTGTTTGTTTCTTTTAGGTAATGATCCAAGGAATTTTGGAAGGACAACTATTGGGAATCTTCAAAAGGGGTATGAAATAAAACATTTATAAGGATATATAAGGAAACGTTTGTATTGCAGAGGAGCTTTGTGGTTTGGACATATCAAAATGTTTCTTGGTGTCTGTCATTTTTGCCTCTAGAAACAACCTGTTATGGCTGCACACAGTGTTTGCAGTTCTCTACCTGACCCTGACAGTTGCCCTGCTGCGACATCACACATCACAAATGAAAGGCATGCGCAGAGAGACAGTGAGTCTTTGACTACTTAAGACTAGACTAACAAGATTTGATGTTATTTTATATAATGTTCTGATGATCCACACTTGGTCTGGATTGTCACTGATGCATAAACTTATACTGAGTTCTTACCTCACCTGTCTGTGAGGGGTTAAATGCATTATGAAAGCCATACCAGACTTAAGTGTGGTGAATCACTTACCTGTGATGGTGCCTGACTGATCTGTCACTCTGGCTTTCACTTTGTAGACCAGAAACACCTTGTTTGTGTGTTCAGTTCCTAAAACAGCAACAGAAGAAGCTGTAATGACACATTTCACGTGAGTGCACTGAACTGTTACATCCACTGTTTGTCTTGTGTAAAGTTGACTCTTAGTTTTGATGCATTGTTCTCACATATCACCATAAATAGCAGCTATCTGTTCCAGTCCTCAATGCCAGTATTGCTTTTTATAGAGAGGCGTATCCTACCTGTCGAGTGTGTGCTGTGACCCTAGGCTATGACGTGGCCAAGCTCATGCACCTTGATAAGGAAAGGTAAGAAATCAGAACTAACTGTACATAAAAATCATGTGATTCTTGCCCCCTGTGTCAGTGAGTACATGCTAGCATGTAGTTTTTTGGTTTGTGCTACACAATTGAGCTTCCTTTGAATTTCATGAATATTGTCAATATTGACAGTGAATCTAATATCTGTGTCGTGTGAAAATGGTCACTTGCAGCTACAAACCCACAGAGAGAATTGTCACTTAACCCAGAAACTCTACTGAGCGTTTTAGCCTCTTAAAGCTCATTATTTAAGTTTAATGGCACAAAATTATGTTTCAGTCTCACTCTTACTGGTCAATATTTAAATGATGTCATATTTTGTATCCATGTCTGCAGAGGAAAGTGGCTGCAAGCAACAGTGTGTAAAGCATATTCCAGGTTTAGAGGTATCTGTTTAAAATGTTGAGGCTCTTATTTTTACTAAGTTAAACTAAGTTGTTTGTGTTTGTTTTTTCACTCCAGAATGCGAGCTGGAAAAAACCTGCGCTACTACGAGCGTGTCTTAGAGAAAACAGGAGAACGTGATTTGATTAACCCCCGTTTGTGTGGGCACCTTTGTTGCTGCGCTAACTCTGAGAAGGTAAGCTGGACCAGATGATAGCACAGTTTTGCAGTGGTATCTGAATGCTTTTATTTATTTATTTATTCTTTAGTGTAATGATTTATAGTAAAAGTACATTGGACTAAATACAGATTTTAATAGCAGCAAAGTATAAATCTTGTGATGAAATGAAAAGCTTGTATCAGTGCTATTCATTTACAGGCACAGTTAGCAAGCATGTGAACTATTTTACAACAAGGTTTAAAAAAAGTAAAGCATTCAATCCGTGTGTGTCTGTGTGTGTTTCTTCAGGTTGATGCCATACAGTATTACACGACTAAGGAAAAAGACCTGCTGGGAGAGGTGAGGAAGCAGGTAGAACTGGTGCCACAGCGCCCCCTGGGGATTGCCTATGTGACCTTGCAGACTGAGGCTATGGCCAAGTTGTGAGTAGCTTTTTGTCAGTACTTGTGTCTGTATTTACAGGTGGAGGAAACAACAATATCATCTGAAATAATATGGATGATACTGTTGTAATGAAACATCTGAGACATGATAAAACAATCCAGTCTAACACTAATGCAACCAGTACTACCTCTGTGAAATAATTTTAGTTGTTATTGTATCAGAGAGGCATTGATCCAAATCCAATAGTTATTTGTTTGGACATTCTTTCCTACTGTTTGCACTTTTTAAAATATGTTTCTTTTTTGTAAATGGAGCAACATGCTGTGGTCAGTGACAGTAACATCGCTGTGAAGAAGTGATTGTTTGGCAAACAGCATGTGCCATTGTGTTCTGACATGATAGGTTGTTTCACAGCCTGGAAGCAGCAGTTTATGTGAGCTGATGATGCTTGTCCTCTGACTTGATCAGGACAGTTTTCTCTCAGTTCTGCTGTCACCACATGACTTTTTGCTGGAAAACTAGTTAATGTGTATCTCAAACAGCTGTCATTTACTCACCTCAGCATTATGAAAGACTTCAATGCACTTGAATGTGGTGGCACACGCTGCTGCTGTGGGAATGAGCGCCAACCTTCATCCAATAGTGGAACTCTGAAAGTGAACCAGTGGAGAGTCAGCTTTGCACCCCATCCCAAAAATGTGTACTGGTAAGGCCTAAGACACCAACCCTTAACACAGTATGTGCTCCATGCAGATCATATGACTATGATTAGTTTTTGATTTTATTTTTTTGCCTGATATAATGCATAATAGTGGAGCACATTACATTATATTGAACACCAGTTGAATGATTTCATATGTGATCTTACTCGCATTTATCATATTGTGGCCATATTGGTACCATGAAAACATCCCTGTGACACTGATTTCAACCATATGAAGTATTGATGAGATATTTCAAAGATGATATTTCAATATGTAGTGAAATCGATTATTTATCCCACTCCAGTGTAAACCCACTTAGTCGCCTTGAGAATTCATAATAACCTGCTTATTCACCATAGCTTACTGTGGACAATGTCATCAGTGAACTGAAAAATCTTTAGCAAAATACCATCATTAAAAACAATTTAAACATGTTGATTTAGTTACCTCATGATGAGGAGTAGGAGGAAGAATAAGAATAAGCTGCACTCTTCTGTTTTCTCCACTGTGTTGCCTCTTTGTGTGTAACTGTCCTTCTGTTGCTTCTGTTTTTCCTATTTTCCCTGTCCTACAGGGAAAATCTCTCAGTGCGGGGTTTTCCCTGGTTCATGCGCTACGTGATGCTCAACTTCCTCCTTTTCTTCCTGCTCACCTTCCTCACGACTCCCACCATCATTATCAGCACCATCGACAAGTTCAACGTGACTAAGCCCATCCAGTATCTCAATGTGAGACACATGCAGACATATATATTTGTCACAAGTTTGCTTTCAAAACTATGAATCTACAGTTTGATTTGCTTTTCACCTCAGAGCCCCATTATCAGTCAGTTCTTCCCCACTCTCCTGCTGTGGAGCTTCTCTGCATTGCTGCCCACCATAGTCTACTATTCTACACTGGGAGAAGCACACTGGAGCAGGTATCTCTCTCTCTCTCTCACACAGAGAGAGACACACACACACACAGTGCAGTGATTGGTTCCTGTTAGCTGAGGAAAATATTTTGATCCAGTGTCCTCTGTGTTTCAGGTCCAGTGAGCAGCTGAGCATGATGCGGAAACTGTACTTCTTCCTGCTCTTCATGGTGCTTATCCTCCCCTCACTTGGACTTACCAGGTAATTTGTGTTACCATCAGTTTGAATAACCAACAGTTCCCAGCATCCAGGTTAATTTTGTACCTGTAGGAATAATAAATAGTTTAGCAATCAGTGTATGTTAAATGCAGCAATAAACGGGGAGCTTACACACTTAAAAAATGAGGAGGCATAAGATGTGAATAGCAGTTGTGACACATACAGTATGTATCTACAGTAAAATGCCAAATGGGTTGTTGACATGAAATGCCATTTTTTCACACGATATAAAAATACATATAAATAGTAATATAATAATTAAAATGTAGTGAAATGTTAAACATTTCTTTATTTTACATGGACTTGTTATAAAAACTGATCTGTTTTTAGATTTTTTTTTAAATTTCAGCAAAATCTCAAAATTGTCCTATGGTGTGACTGTCTCTAGCATGGTTCAATAAATATATTCTTTTTAAATTAAAAAGAAATTATTTGCATAAAAGTTTTACAACAGCATTATTTTACAAGTGTATTTTGGCATTCATTTATTTCACCCACACATTTCTAAAAGGATAGGGTCTTGAAACATTTTGTCATAGGCTCTGGTGTGACACCATATCCTGATTTTAAATCGGGCAACTCCACAGACAACTTTATTTGAGGAATCCATTCAAGGTCATGTTACTGAAGCCCATTGTGTAGTTCATGACATGTGTACATGGTTTTTGTCTCAGACTAATTCAAATATTTAACTTTTTTTGAAATACTAAAAGTGTTGGGTCCTTTGGTGTGACATCTCCAATTTATATTTTTTAATTAAAAAGTGTGTGTTAAAACTACATAATTATGGAAAATTATGCAAATGTTTGTCTCAAAATATCTTAAAGCACAGTTGAGTATTGAACATTAGGGGAGATATAATCATCACTTAAATTGTCATAATTTTCAATATTTCTGAAAAGATAACAGCAAAGTTTGACTTGCACATTGGGAAAATAGTGTTATTAATATTTTCATATTAAATAAATAACACTATATGAATCTTGCTATTTGTATATTATTAAAAAAAAAAAATTCTGAATTTTTTATGGTTTAGAGAAAATTAACAGACAAAGTTAGTGACCCCTTACATTTTTCACACTACACAAATATAGTGTATGTATTTTATCTTCAAAAATACAAAAAAAGCATTTATACTATACAAGTACATATTTGTCAACTACTCAAATGACATGTCAGTTAGCGGTTGAGGATATTAGCTCAGGCTAATTGTTGTATTTTTGTATAGTTGGATTGAGGAAGGATCTTTTTTCTTTTTTCAGTCTCGCAGTGTTTTTCCGTTGGCTGTTTGATAAAGAGTTTCTCTCAGGTGGGAAACTGCGGTTTGAGTAAGTATTCCCTCTTTTCTGCCCCTTGGTTTTTTTTTTTGTTTTTTTTTATTCTAATCAAAAATGTACAAATTAATTAAAGTTTTAGTACGTCATAGAGATCAATTTAAATTATATGTCATTTTTACAGATAAATAACCATACAGTTGCAATGTTTCACTCACTGCTGTTGCAGTCAGGTTTTGAATCTGGTTTCATATTTTACTGCAAAGTTTGGTTGTCATTTCATTTACAACTGTTTTTATAAAGTTTCCAGTTTTTGTTGAACCTGACATGCCCAGGAAAATGTGTGGGAAACACGAGAAAAGAAAATGTCCTTGCATGAGGCCTGATATTTTTTATAATTTGTGGATAGATTAATTTTTTTTTTTTTTTTAAAAGTTCACATTTTCTTTAATGTTTTGTCCTCACTGGTTTGACTTTATTTGACTCTTTTCCTTTATCTTTTTGTTTTCCTTTCCTTCTTTACAACAGGTGTGTGTTTTTACCTGACCAAGGGGCATTTTTTGTCAACTATGTGATCGCAGCAGGCCTGGTGGGCTCTGGCATGGAGTTGCTGCGGTTGCCAGGGTTACTACTTTACACCATTCGTATGGCATTTGCACGCTCTGCTGCTGAAAGGAAATATGTCAAACAGGTTTGTTATGGTATTGTCCATTAAAGCAATGCTACACCAGGGGCCAGGGTTCTGCTGTGTGAGTGAAAATAGAGAAAAAAATATGTTTTGGACACAATAAACTTAAGAATTTGTAGTTTTTGATACTGTTTACTTTATCAGTATCAATATATTACTTTAGAACTTATTGTATTATAAATGGCTAATATGCTTCAGCTGGACAATGTGTAATAGAAACATATTAAGTGCTTTGGCCAAAGAATGATCCATTTACTAAACTAAACAGATTTATGCAGCGTTGTATTTTCCTGTAAACTCAAGTCAATGAAAAGTCAAACAAGAATAATGGAATATTTTGTTTGTTGATTTCTTTAATCTCAGCCTCATTTCAACATTTATAAGTAACTCTACTTGTGCTTACAGAACCAGGCCTATGAATTTGAATATGGAGCCATGTATGGCTGGACCCTCTGTGTGTTCACTGTCATTATGGCTTACAGCATCATTTGTCCTATGATTGTGCCTTTTGGTGAGTAGTTAGTTGGGCTGTACACACACTCAACACATTCCCTCATGTAAGATTTATCATCAGTAGATCTATTTGCCATTCTCTTAATTACTCCACTCTGTCAGACTTTGCCAGAGACCTCAATGTCACTTTCATACATACAACATACAGTATGTCCAGTCACTTCCATAGTGTTGTTCCTAATGGCTGCACTGTGTGTGTCTGACTCCATCAGGTCTCCTCTACATGCTGCTGAAGCACCTAGTGGACAAACACAACATGTACTTTGCCTACCTGCCTGCCCGCATTGATCGCCAGGTCCACCTGGGAGCTGTCAATCAAGCTCTGGCCGCGCCCATCATCTGCCTCATATGGCTTTACTTCTTTTCTGTTCTCAGAACAGGTAAGAAATAAACGTGGGCTTAACCTGAAAAAGGTTACATTAGCAAAATCACCTGAGATTCATTGATGGGAATTAACCACAAGTGCTTAGCCATATCTAGAAATGTTAAAAACTTCTAAATACAGAGGCTACTTGAAACAAATGCATATATATGTATATATATATATATATACCAAATTTAACACGTGCATATATATATACCAAATTTAACACGTAATTTAACATCTGTCAGATGGTCCAGTTTTTAAACTGAGCTCATGTGCTGGTAGTATCTCAAAGTAAACAACGGGCAAACTGGACAAACAGTATATAATTACTGTGTGATCATGTGTAGGCATTTGCCTGCATGCAGCTCCATAAGAGAAATTTCCATGCCACAATAAAACTTTCTGTGTGGTGTTTCAGATTTCATGACCTCCACATCTCTTTTCACCCTGGTGGTTCTGTGTATCACTGTCTTCATCTGCATCAGCGCCACCTGCTTCGGCCACTTCAAATACCTCAGCCCACACAACTATGCGGTGAGTGTTTGCTTGTGCGTGTATATGTGAGACAAATTTTTTCCATCCCTCACACTGAGCTCTCATATTTTTCTTTTTTTTTTTTTGCAGGTGAAAGAGGAGGACGAGGACACAGAAAATGAGGTAGAAGAAAACACCAAGGTACTGTACTGTACTTACAAATTCCATAGCATGAACCAAGATCAGACGTACTTAGATCTTAGGGTAACTTAACCTTAAATTTTCCATATATTAATTTACGCTGCTTGTCATCCTTTTGTTATGTTATTCATTAACAAAGAACCAGTTCAGTGTTTTCTCAACAATATGCTTAAGTCCTGGCTGATCATAATACACTGTTGCATGCATTGAACTTTGGAACTTCCCAATCATTCTTGCAGGCCAAGTTCATGTCTGATGCATCCTTGTTTGCCTAGTAAATTTTCAGGAGCTTTATCCCTTTATTGCCTAATCCTAAGCATTCTTTTGTATCAAAATCATACTTTGGCCATGACATGCAATATTGCATCAAACACATCAGGGAGGATAAAAGAGCACACAAAATGAACATTGAGAAACACCCCAAGGAGCATTTTGTTTTCAGCACTCATCTCTCTCTTTTGTATTGTATAATTACAGATCTACCTTCCCAGAGTGCTCAATCCCAAATCACCTGTCAGCACCACACAAGAGTCTAAACCTCAGCAGTCTTATGGCTCTACAGAGGGCAACTTGGCCTACAACCCCAGCCCAGTGGGGGAAAGCACGTCAGATGGCTGAATCAGTATATTTCAACACAGAGTCAAAGCTTTGGAGCTACGATTCCCTCAACTCCTGATTATAAATTTTTTCCTTTCACAACGACTTCAGTACTGAGGTCAAGAGTACTATTTCACTCCGACCGTCCTGCTCTGTCAGTCGCATTGAGAGAAAATCTTCAGATTGTACAAGAGAAGAAAGTGCAATGCATTCTAAAGTGCAGGGGCCTCATTTATAACTGTTGCATACTCACAAAACGGGACTTGAAAGAGGCATATGCCACTTCCCATGCAAAAGTTTATAAAAACAAACTTTATGGAAGAATGTGCGCACCTGTACAGAAACTCTGACCAATGTGTGCAACTTTTTGGAGACACGGGAAACTGGCGACGCAAACCTTAAGGTGGCGAATTGAGGCCAGATTGTAGAAATTAAATGATCAGCATCATTATACATAATCACCTTTCAATTGTAAAAGCAAACTCAAATCTCAAATTAAGTTCCACCCAAAATTTCATTAGCATCGTCTTACTATCACATTCCCCTCCCCCGGAGTGCAGATGACAGGGCCTAACTGTAGCTACTGACACTCGTGGTCAGTTGTTGAGCCACAGCAGCAGTTCAGTTGTGAGGATAATGCCAGAATGTGGCAGGTGGCTGGATTCAAGTCTGGCTTCTGCCTTTCCCCAATATAAAGTGTGAATTAAGTGTCATTTTCACCTCAACCATGTTAACTAGGCTAACTGATTAAATTACCATCATTGGCAGTAGAAATCCAAAATAATGTCAAGTAGTATTAAAGAATTGCAGAACAGAGCGTCAATAGTTTTTAATATAATCTTCTAATACTGTGCATATACAGTATCAACAAGTACAATTTCAGTTTTTGTGTGTAAAATCGCACCAGTGAACACGACTGTGTGACTATGCTGTCAGGTACACAGAGCACACTGGAAACACTGTGGTGGTTGCCACATACACACTCTGCCTTCTCCAGTCACCTCACCTAACACCACCTGCATTCATAGTCCACTGTGACAATGAGAGAAACACCTATATGTTAGAGTTTTGAGTTAAATATTGTGTGTGTTAGATACTTAAATGTGGTTTCATCAGCTATGTACATATCTGTGGCCTATAGACGCTTAACAAATATGAAGAGGTGAGTTCCTGTGTCTCTGTGCTTGCTCGGTCCAAACTCTGACAATGTGCAACAAAGCGTTGAAGGCACCCACCTCCATGTCTGATCATGTCTGTTTAATCTCGGGAATCCTGTTTGTAGCATTAACAGCTGCTGCAGGCATCAGCCTCTCAAACTTTGTTTTGTTTGTAACCCTGCCTAAATTCTCCACAGGAACAACATGTATATCAATATTCATGAGGGATTTGCATTGACCATTTATGGTTAATTGTGGGGGGTTTTTGGGGAAGAGCATGAGGCTTGTCAAAGTGCACAGATTTTCAAGTTGATTGTGATTTATAAATGGATATTGCATGGAGGCACGCATGCACACAGGTTTATAAATCTGATTAATTTTTTGCGTGTGCCATTTTCGGCTTTTGTGCACACATACACTTTTAGTATGGATCCTACGCACTGTTTTATAAATGAGGCCCCAGCACTGTGCCATCCCACACTGGTCCAACTTCCTTACCTCTTGGCTTCTGGAAAGACGAGTGGACAATTTGTTAAATCTGAATTACTTTCTACAGGAATGAAGATAAATAGTCATTTATTTGATATTTGGATCATTACTTTTACTTGATCAGTACAACGCACGCATCCATGTGAAACCTACCAAGCCGTCTCTCTCAGTCTTGTCTGTCATAAAACACGGAAACATGTCTGTTTCTATGTGAGACCTCTCTGATAAGGACCAATTCACCTTAGAATGTTTAACCAAAACCTGCCATTTCAATTAAGCCATGATGTGTAAGAAATTCCACTTTTTGCATGTGAATTATCAGAAGCAAATTATGCAATGAGGGTAATTATGCATCTATGTCCAGAACAAAATCATCAAACCAGCACCACTGATGCCAAAGAGATGGACAAGCAGAGCTTTCTGTTTTTCTCCAAAATTCTCTAAAGTGCCTTTTTTGATGCCAGAGGACAATGCCAAGGGAATAACTTATTGCCGAATGTTTATTATGCACTTTCATATCAAGAGAGGTCTGTCTTTTTGTGTACTAACAAGAACTTAATATTGTGACTTACTCATGAGACAATAGAGCAAATATTTATATCAGTATTGCAGGAATTTTGCGACCAAAAGCTTGGTTAGATGGTGGAGCAATGGTTAGTTATTTTCATTACTATTTAAGGTACGAAAATGATGCTGTACCATTAATGAATGTTTTGAGCAGGTCAGTGTATATTTGTATTATTGTGCTTTAAAGTTACGTTTTTGAAGCATTTTTAAATGTGCATTTTATCAAGGAACTAAGCCCTAAAAGCAAACAACCACCGAACACATGAGCACGTGTTCAGTGGTTGGTAGTAACTGTGTTGTTTTTTCACCAAGTAAAACAGATAAAATGTCTTCAGGTTGCGTATGTTAAGAGGAGCTCTGTCTTAGTTTTGTACATATGGTGACATACATTTCAATATTAAACAATCCTATGTGCTGTTTTCATATACAAAGGACAGGAACAATTGTGCAGTTCTGAGTGCTTCTTGCCATTCGGGGGCGCTGTTGAACTGCAGTAGGGTAGCTTAACCCCTGAAATATTCATAAAGCAGTGAAAAAGGACAGACGCACATTGTTGCATTGAGGATTTCTAACTTATTCTGACATTGGTATGAGCCTGTGTACTGGGCGACAACTCCAGTAGCTCCACCTCCTCACCTGATCTTTTTCTATTGTCTCCCTTTCTGTTCCCTTTTGCTTCCTCTTTTTCCTGACTTTTCTCCTTTCTCACCACGGTCCTGCCTTAGCTGAAAAAGACCTCTGTTGTCATTTTAAGGGCTGTTAGCGTGCTGACTAACAGTTGTTAAATATGACTAATGGAGTGCTAAGCTAACAATACATCTAGGTTATTAGCTGTGGCGAACAGAGCGGTTTTGGCCATTGGACGAGTGAATCAGTGTACCCTAATGGAGCCACACAATAGTTCTTAAACTGAAGAAGAAAAATCAGGAGGAGCAGCAGCTACTGAAGTGGTTCTAAATGGCTCAACAACAAATTAGTTCTTCCTGGCTCAAGCATTTGATATACTTTAAGATCGTTTACAAAGGATACTTGATATAAGGAGTGATATAAATTCTGTAAAATCTGACTGCACAAAGATTATTGTCCGTATTTTACCCCTACAGTTGAACAAAGATGAAATATTTCAAAACAATCTCTCAGTTGTTTGCTCTTTCTCAAGTATTTTTCCATTGTGTGTGTGTGTGTGTGTGTGTGTGTGTGTGTGTGTGTGAGTGAGAGAGGGAGAGAGATTAAGCAGTAAAGACACTATTCTCAGTGTTAAATGGTCTCCAGTATGCTAGAAGTGATAGTATTACTCACAAAATAGCCTGGTTTCTTGATGAAAATCTAACACACAAATCTAACTCACATAAACATACACTGCATGACTTCCATGCAAAGAGACTTCAAGACTGATTTGAAAAGACATACCTCAACAAAATCACATGAGAAAGCTGTGCAGGGTCAGGATGCGAGGGCACTAATAACTTGCAGATATTCTCATGTGGCTCTAAGGATGAGCTGGGAAAGAGATGAGAGTTTGATATTAGACACCTGATATACAGTCTGTTGGTTGAGTCTATTTAATGTGCATTGAATGTAGGTTCACTGTTGGAGACTGCCTTCTGCTAGCTCAGTGGAGCAGGAGTAATGTGGATGTTAAAGCTGCAGGAGCCTGGGAAGCAGCAGAAGCCAGACCTACAGTATACAGCTTTCCAAAACCACACACCAAGTGTTGACCTGATGTTAAACACACCACAAATTAACTGGCTCAGTTTCGGCACACATGGTTCTTGGTCTCTGGTAATGGGTGTGTGAAAGTCTCATCTGAAGTTTGATCCAGTTACATGCAAACTGGGAGCAGATTGTCTAATCTCTTTTTTTCAAACAATTTGCTCAGATATTGACATTGTTAATCTTTGGTTTTACATAAAAGTGCAGTGCTCCACACTTGACCACCTAAGTCAAACTTGACATACAAACTACCTCTTTCATTCTCATTACAAAACATGGATCCCTTAAATTTGTTTGGTAATGCTTTATTTTACTGCTCTGTCATTGTCTAACAATTTCCAAGAAGTTTCCTGGAGATGTCAAACTATGTAATTTGGTTCAAATTACAGGAAAAATAGCCACTAAGTCCTAAAACAGAAAGCTCCATTTAAACCCAAGTAAATACTCATTCATCATTAATTTATTTTTGAAAACTTATTCTATTCTATTATTCTATCCTATATGAATTGTATGCTTACCTGTATAAAAATTGCCCATTTGTATATGTTTAGCAGATTTGCTGTGTACCAACTAAATGACTTAAGGTTGTGCTAGGACCAAATTTGAACTAACTGAAAATAATAATAAAACAATTGAATAAAGTTTATTATTAATTAATTGGAAACAACTGAGCACTGTCTGTGGTTTGTCTTATATTATCTTAGCATGGCACATAATTCCCTATAAAATCACAATATACTTTACACTGTTTTTTGTACAGATTGAACAAGACAGCATATTAATTAATGAGTTGAAAAATAAAGTATCAGTGTGCTCTCTGGTGGACAAAATATGTAATGAGACACTGTTTATAAATGATCTCATCTTGCATTCCTGTACTGGAATTTCTTGTTGAATGATATATTGATATACACATAGTGTATATTGGCAATAAGTTAATATGATATATTATCCAAGCCTATTTATCAGTGTATTTCTAATCTGATCTAAACTAACAGAGTTAAGTGTTGAACAGATTTAGAAAATATAGAGAAGTAAATGAGGAGAGTAAAAGAATAAGATTTGAAATTTGAGGAAATCAGATAAAACCTATTGATAATGAAAACTGCTGTTTTTGAACAGATTGTTGGCATCCCAGGTCAAATGAAACAGCAGTGATTCAGCCTGTAAGGTATTACTAGTTTACACAACACGCCCTTTTCTGGATCAAAATATTTATCCAGTCTTAATCCAAACCTCTGTGACTGTGTTTTTGTTTAGGTGTGCAACCCACTGAACTCAGCGCCCTCAATGCATTCTTGGTATTGTTGTTGTCTGTTCTTTTGTACGCCACAGACACTATTATTTAGTCACTTCACTCCCTCTCTCTGAGTATTCACTTAATTCTGCACTCCCAGGCCACTGGACTTAAGAAAGAGCCGCTGTGTTTCTGTGTGTGTGTGTGTGTGTGTGTGTGTGTGTGTGTGTGTGCGCTTGTATGTGTGCGTATCAAACAGGAATTAAATCCATTTGGAGTTCTGAGGTTTTGGGGTCAGGTTTCCTTCATGTCACCACCAAGATCGATGGATGTGACCTCTGACTGCTCCAATTTGTATATAAACATGGCAATGGCCAATCACAGCATCGCGTGGGATCGTGCCAACCAATGAGAACGTCTGGCAGCATCGTGCTCTGTGGCACTCCCATCTTTTGTCCGTCAGGATTAGTGCCGTGGCAACGCTGGTCGCCTGGGAGGTGAGTTTCCCAGAGCAGCGGGACCAGGACAGAAACAGACCGCTTCGTTCCAAGTATTACTTCCTTCCCGGCCAATTGGGAAACACAAATGAAGTGGTGTGTATGTGTGTGTCACTCCGTGTCTTGCAACTCCAAAACTTCCACCTAGACTGCCAACTCTAATGAGGTGCCATCCTGAGCAACAAGCTCTAAGTGTGTTTGCCTGTGTGAGTGAGTGGGAGGGTTGGTGAGGGGCTGTCCTTGTGTATTCTCTTCTGTGTGGGGTACTCTGTGGAGAAGTCACCCCACTCTCCCTCCCTTTTTTGTTGGTGGACTACATTAGCCAGAAGGGCAGAGGGCCAGGCAGCTGAAATCACCGCTGCTGATCAAGCATGTGACTCCAGACCGAGCCCTTTTGTTTGGACAATTACAGCCAACACACAGAGTCCTGAAATTGCACTGTGGCATGGGAATAGGCAAGCATGGGAATGAATAGACATTAGAAATTATTAAAATATGCTTGTGTTTTTTTCAAATTGCTGTTATTGAAAGAAATAGTCTGCAATAGGTTTTTTTTTTATTTATAACCCTTAGACTTTCATGAAAGTCAAAGCCCATTTTTCAGACAACTTATGGTCGACATTTTTATATACAATATAGTGGTTTTCATTGTTAGTGGCACAGACAGTGACGGTATGTATCAGGGTACAGTCTGTCATACATCATTTTCTCCTCATCTGACTTTTTAAACCTGAACTATGTCTGACTAAAATGGAAGTTACACCAGTCTTTTATACCAACTCCACCTCCTCTTCCTTGTGTGCAGCACTATCAGCCATTTCTTAATTTCCAAACAAAGGATTGGATTTTTTCTAGACGATTCGCTGGTCCAGTCTGATTAAAACGAAGCCTGCGACAAATCTTTTTCCTCTTCTTTCTGGCAGACTTAGCATGATTTAGTTCATTGATAGCTTCCACTGGTGTATTTATGTCATTGCCACTTTAGATCTATGAGCGCTTACCGGTCAGCATGGTATAATCAAAATCCAGACCACAGGGCAAATTCATACCAGTGCACTTTCTATACCGTCTATACCGACCACCTCGAGCTACAATACATACATGCCTCATTTCAAATTAATGTCCTGTGCATGTGAAGACAATTTAAATCCAATGTGGGAATGATGGACCCTGCCACTACCAGTGAAGACTACAGAGAAGTAATAATAACATGTATATACACTGAGAGGCTATTACAGAAAAGATGGCAACCCTGAATAGTATCAAAAATTGGGTTTCATTTCAGGAAGGTCTTAGGGGTTATAACTTTAAATGGTGAGGACATAATTGTAAGAATTTGTATTGCATCCAAATTAAGTTCGCAACCCTCACATACTTAGATTTCAGGGCCATGTAAGTTGCCTGGCAAAAATGAACACAGTAGAAACAGGATTGTCTAGCACATGATTAGCCCAACACTGATGCAGTCTAAAACAGTCTAAAATCTTTTGTTGGACAGTAGCCAATCATGTTTCTCCAAGTGTAACCTAAGCCAACTTCACACTGCTTACACTGACTAAGACTGCTGGAACTGAGCCAGGATAAACCAAACAACCGATGGTCCGTTTAGCATCTTTTAAACAGGATTTGCTTCATATGCTGCTCATAGCAACCAGTGATTTCAGCACTACTCGGTCTGCCTGAAATCAGTCAACTGATAATGAATAACAATATCTATATGAACTAAAAAGACAGTTTGAATACATTAAAGTGTCTTAACAAAAGAGAGGTGATAGGAGAGGATTCACCTGTGGCGTCATGACACTGGAGCGAGTGGAGGATGAAAACCCTTTGGTTAAATGTTGCAAGGCAGTTGGGTGATCGTGCTGGTGATAGGATGGTGGAGATTTGCCCAATACCCATTCTAAAAGACACAATCACAAAGATATTTAAAGATCAGATTGGTAGACAGATGACTGATGTCACATATTAATGAAATGCGTGAATGAAGTTTGACAGAATGGCAAGGAGAAAATGAATGAAATGGTGGGAATTTATGAATGAAGATATGAGCAGAAACAAGATCTCACCAGTAGAAGACAGAGAGAGAAAAGATTTTCCTTATTGCTCAATGAAGCTTTTCCTTTGCAAAACTTTACCAGCTGACCACATCTACAATAACATAACATTAAGGCGTAAAATCACTTACTTTGGCAGAAAGCGATTAAACCAAGTCACATCACAAATAGTTCAGACAGAGGCATCCCACTATCAAAATAAAACTCCTTGCTACATCACCTATTCAGCTTTTTCAGTTGCAGGCAAAGCATTTTTATAGCCACAACCTGAAAACACACATGCACACATATATATGGTGCCTTATTTTCTGGCTCTAAATCCCATTCGTGAAATCGCAGTAAGCCCAAAAAAAAAGACAGCCTGAGTTTATGAGAAGCTGGCAAGTTACCTTGAATTATGGCCATGGGAAGACATAAAAAAAATATCTCCAGGCTATTGTATCTCATTAATAATTACAGGTGAACACGAAACCTTTCTTATGCTGTTTCTGTTCCATAATTTCCAGATAAACAAACAGAATTATTGTGTGTACACAATGGCATTCTGCAATGATTTCCAAGCACCATTCACTCCTATTCCCTTGTGCCATGCGGTCATGTTAGAGGGATCTGAGCGTGCATCCTGCCAGCTGTGCAAAGGGCTTATCCGATTCTGTCCTCCAGACACTTTGGTCAAAACTTCCAGACACAAAACTGCCAATCTTTGGTCCTTCCCCTTCTCTGCATGCTCCCCTCTCTGCCATGAGCTTCATGGGTGAAAGAGGGAGAGTTTTTGAAGCCAACACAAAGAGCCCACACGATCAGCACTAAGGAGAAGTTAGCAAGAGTTAAAAAATGTGAGATTCTGTCTGTTAGAAAATGGAAAATTGGTTATTTTACTAACTACATTTGACATTCTAACAATCATGTACTGTATATGTAAGTACAGCTCAGGAAACTATGTTGTGTGTCTTTGCTCCTCTTTCTCACACAATGTATGTACAGCACATGTGAGTATTAGTCAGTGGGCTCTATATTGTAAGGTACTCAACATGTACACTTCTGTCACATAGAGCAACAAAACTAAGGAGAGGAGAGGAAAATGTAAATCAATCAATGTCACAATCAATAAGCAAAATAAAGCATTAACACTGTATGGACAATATTGCACTACAGTTAACCATAACAACAACATTAAGAAGAAAAAGAAATGATACTGACGGTAGCACAGCAACTTTCCACGGGTTTCTCTTTTAAGTGAGAAAAATATGTTAAAATAATGTAGGCCTACTGTAATGTATTGCATATTAAGTCTCTCTGTGGACCAAAAGCACAGGTGCACTCAAGTACATTAATTATGGTTACATTCAGTTTAGGTGTTCCCTGATTTTATGCATGAACTAATATGCATCCTCACTGTCATGGCTTATTTGGACACTTATATGGAATGGAGCCATTATTAACGATATTAGTTACACCTGTGTTTTCCTGCTGTGACAGGTTGTCTGGCCTTAGAAAACGTCAATTTTCCTGAGGCTGGTTTAAGTTTCTGATGTTATTAAGTGTGATGTCTGATGTTGCAATATTGTGATAGGAACAGATGTTTTGTTCAGTTTTGGTTACCATAATAGTTACACAAACTTCTGAGCCAAGTGCCTATTCAAGCTTAGCGGCATAAAAAATAAATGCCAGCGCAGGACTTATCCACAATACCTTTCTTGTGTGTTGATACTGTACCTGTAAATAACGAGGTTGGGGCAGAAACAGCATCAGGTCATTACATATTCTCCCAGTGGCAAACTATACTGGATGCAGTCATGTTGATATGTTACGGACTGTGGCCACTTTTACTAGAGCTGCTGCTTCCTGCACGCACACACTTGAGAGGATAGGCCATGACGTCAGACCAGACTCCCGCGTGATCTGGTTTGTATTAACACCACATTGAAACACACCCAAAATTATCTGTTAACAATTTTGTTTTGTTTCTATTGTATTAAGTAGCAGCACACTCAACAACACACGTAAAAAAAGTTATTTGCAATAAAGAGGAAGGAAAAAAAAAAAAAAACTCGAGCGCTGTTATGGCAACCACGTCAACGCGGTTTGTTGTCATTAGCAACCAGTGTGGCAGCGTTCTGACCTGAACGCTTTTGTTAGTTGAAAAAAAAATATCGAATAACGTTAAGATAAGTAATACGCTGTAAAGCCGCTTATTGGATAAACAATGGACTCAAACTCGTTATACTATTCCTTGGATCTCGTTGCCGGCAGTGGATGTACCTTAAATGTTGAGCAAAGAACCGCCCTACAGACTTCCTTGGTGATACTGAAGAAAAACTACAAATTCCATCGAGTCTTGTTTTGGGGCAAAATATTGGGATTAAAGGATCATTACTTTATTGCTCAGGGGAGAGGAGAAGATGAGATGAAGGATAAAAAGAATCTATATAGGTAGGGTAGCTTCAACTGTGATTCTGTCTCATTTGCCACTGTATATCTGCCCTCAACTAAGTGCAATACCTGTTTGTATATCTTTTGGCTGTCATCTCCAGCTTCAACTGCATAGACTGGTTCCTGCTGCCCCCTGCCACAGAGTCTATGATTGATGAAGTGTCCAGAGCTGCCAAGACTCGCTTCATAGGAGACCCCTCATATGTGTATGAGCATCTTGAGATCCGCAGGCGAGGAGGAGATGAGGCTGAAGAGGAAGAGGTATGGGTAAGTGTGACCAGTACTGTGTAGATGTAAACGGAACATAGAAGACTGTCAGATGAAACTCAAGACTCAAGTAAAAAAAAAAAAATACTTCAGGACAACATTATACTGTAGAACTATAAATAAAGCCAAAACAAAGAAGAATGTGGGACCAAAAGTATCTCAGGTAAGTAATAAACAATTGTTTGTTTTTTTTCATTAAGGGTTAGTGCTAAAGAGAATTGCAGATTAATCTCAAAGCTGAGGTAATTCAGTGATTTATTTTTTCAGGTAGATATTAACACTACCTGTACGGTCATGAAATTCCATCTTGGTGATGGACTGTTATTTGTTTCAGACCAAAGTCAGCGAGGAGAGCAGGCTGGCAGTGACAGTTCATCAGATCGATGAGGAAGTGTCTGTGGTACCACGTGGTGCTTTCGTCAAGAGTCCACATGGCCTTGTCCAGATCAACCGCAGCTTTGGCGGTAAATAAATATTACTGTGTTATACTGTGTAACTTGCTAATTAAGTCCTGAGTGTAAGTTTGAACTTCTCATCTATGTGCATTGTTCCTCAGGTCTGTCTCACTCAGAAGCAGGGAAGCTCGACAATTTCCTTCACTTCAGCGAACCAAAGAATCTGAGGAAGAAATCCATCCTGGAGATGGGTAAATTGAACCCAGCTATAGACTTCCTGGATGTACTGAGTGATGACATTCCTAAAGGTGAACCCACAGGGCGCAGTCTACCCTACAATAAAACATACCACGTACACTGTCACATACAATTGATAAAATTTGACATCTTACAGGACATCTTGCACGTATTTCGGTACTTGAAAACCTCTCTCAGCAACCCCTTTTTTATTTTATGATTAGTGAGGTCTAATGAAAACTATAGAAACTATGATCTCAACCCATTAACACACAGATACGGATATTCTCAAGTAACATGTTATTGAGGCCATTACAATGCCAGTGATGCAGCTTGAGGTTATTCACTCTCAGTGTTCCAACTGCCGTGCTACATTCCAACTAATGAGCTGTGATGTAACAGAAATCATTATGGTGACTCAACTGACTGAAAGTCAAGAGGGGTACCTTCCAAGTAACAGAATGGAATCATTTTAACCGTAAAATAGTAGATTAAGCAAGGCTACACTGATAAAGCCTTCTGATATCAACCCGTCTGCCAGATGGAAAAAAGTTTTCCGAGAATTTTGGAAGACTTTCCCTTTGACTTTTCTCATTAAGTTTTTACAAATAGTGCTCTGATAACTGATTGCTACTGTCTAGTTTTTATGAGAAATATCTTGCCTCTTAGTCCTGGATCAAGCCACACATACTGAAACAGAAAACAGTACATAGAAGAGGACCACCAGAAACCAAACTGATTTTAAATGATTAATGGGACTGCACACATCTGCAGATCAAACTAAAACAATTCAAGTGACAATAGTGTTGTACCAAGTTTTAACTTATTTATAATAAATGACTACTGCAAGTTACTTTCTAGAGCACATAAGTGTTGTAGATTCTTCACTTCACTTGTGGAGGCTTGTTTTTTTTTAGAAGGGTAATTCCCCCCACTCAATACTGTACTGCCTCTAATAATTTATTTAATTGTCAAATATATCATTTTGTGGTAATGTAGTTGAAAGCATGAAATGATGACTGAGTCTTTCAGGTTTCTGTTTTTTTGTGTTTAAATGCTGTTGAGCTGTTGAACAGTATACCATATGTTGGGAAAAAATATCTAACTCAGGAGGCAGACGATAAGCAAACATGAATACTGTAAAAAGAACAATGTGAATTGAGTGTGAAAGACAGAAAAAATGCTTAGCGTCCATGACCAAGCATGGAACAGATGTCTGATTTAAGAGACCTTCCACATGTGTATATGTTTGTGTGTGTTCTTTGAGCTGATATGGATGTCAGCAGTGTCATCACTGCAGCAGACACTATACAGCTGTCTCAATGCCACACTCAATGCAGCCGTCTTAACAGCAGATCACATGCATTTGCTGAAAAGGAGAAAGAGTTAACATTTTTCAAATGGTACTCTGGGGAAAATGTGGTATGATGTATCTCCACTAAAAGACAGGTGCTTTCCTCTGAAACTCTCTTTTCCACAACCACTGCTTCCAGCTCCTGATTTACAGCTTTAGGCTTCCCCTGCTGCAGCAGAAAGCACCTGGGGATTACATTCCAAACTTCTAAGCCATTTTTGCCATTAGTCGTATCATACTTTGTCAGCTACATTCAAAGGCAGAAAAGTAGTGAAGCAAATGTCTTATTTATCTTTTGTGAAAAGGAATCAATCAAATGGCTTTTGTGTTTACATACTAGGTCTAGTTCTAGTATTTAATTCCCTGGGTCATGAGTTCATGGACACACCCCAACATATTGAGAAACACGTTAGACCATAGATATAAAAAGTGCAAAGGGTTGATTTATTGGAGTATCCCTTGGCTGCCCCTAGCATGTGAATAGTATAATCGTCCTGGAATAATTTCCAAAGATTACTCTTCTCATCTACTTCGCTGTCAGAGAACATGATGTATCAGCCTCTTGCATTTAACATCAACTGTTTACAAGTTTTCTGCATTTGTGTGCAGGATCATGGAGTCTCCAGTTTGAATGTGCCAGCAAAGTGCGTGTGCTTCGCAGCGTGTTGTGGCTCGGCCTGACCTTCTACCATGTGCCAATGACACCACAGCACGGATACATCTACATCGGTGATGGGACCAAGAATTTGGACCTTCCCTTCATGCTATAGAGACGTCTTAAGACTTATTTTAAGTTACAAATTTCTCATGTTTCTCTGGTGTTGATATCAATCTTCAAAACCAAAATGTATTCTATGTAACATATCTGTCTTGAAACAAATAAAGGGGTTCAGTCATGCAGTTTGTGTCTACAAGTTTTTGTTCCATTTAGTTCTCATGCATAAAAGATATTCCTATACAGTAAACAAATGTTGAGAGGCAGAGTAAACAGACGTTTTATTTGCACATCTGTGTTGCCTTGAGTATACACAGTCAACATACCACCTACTTTGAATGCGTAACACTGACCCGGTTGTTGTTCACATTAAGTTGTCAGTGAGTTCACTTCAAGGGCTTTTTTGAAAACCCAGAGACAAAATGGATGGTTCTGTGTGGGGCTCAACGTGATTTATTAAAAGCATGACGAAGCTTAATAAACAAAAGGTAGAATAAATACAGATGGATGAAGCTTTTAGGCCTTTTCTCAAGGTGGTGTGACAAAAGTCAGGGTAAATTGCAGATGTAGCTGAAGGGCGTGGAAACCCAATGCATCCTGCATAATGGGCCCATCTACTCTCCTGCAGTTGCTCTGCAGATTTATCAGGCTTTATGGTTTCCTTCAGTGTTTCATGTAAAGGGACTTGACACTGTAACGCACATTGTTCTTTAGTGCTGGGTGGCCAACTGACATGCGCTTCTTACACCACTTCAGTCCAGTCTTATAGATGGGTTTCACTGATGTAATGGACCAGCGAGTCAGGTATCTGTGCAAAAAAAACATGTAAAACATATAATTGATAAAGGTTTTAACTGTACTGGACATACATGCTGAAAATTGGTAGATAATAGTGAATAACATAAACAAATACTGATGCGTACATCACCTGTTAAGTTGTGGCTTGGGCGTCTTCGGGACATGGCCCTCTGGAAGTTTGGGTTTGTGGTCAGGGAGGAGACCTTGAACACAAAGGAGACAATCGGACAAGTTCAACTTAAATGTGTCAGAGACTTTGTCTTCAAAAACAACTACACATCAGTAAGTATGGTGCAAAAATGTACAAAATAAAGATACATTTCAGTTGGGTGCTACTTAGGGCTGAACGATATGCAAAAAAAAAAAATATTGTGATTATTTGGCAGGTTTTGCGATATGTGATTGCGATTTCAGCTGGAATTGTTGTTTTAGCATTTCATTTTCACTGAAACAAAAAATGCTGATGTGATTCTTATTGAGTTTTGTACCAAACAATCATGATTCTTTACATCTAGAGAATAGGATTTGTAGGCCAGGGCGTCTATGTAGCACCACAACGCTTATGGTGCTAACAATATACAACAATATTGTGACACATTTTAGTTTTACATATTGCACTTGGCCATATTGCGATTTCGATTATATTTCGATTAATTGTGCAGCTACTGATGCCATATGTTAACATCACGTTTTCCACCCAATTCACATTGAAAAATAAACTCCTTATCCCTGTCACCAAACTTCACACAGCCTGAAAGTTTTTAAAGTCAATGTGAACCAGCATCATGACAAGCAGACAAAATTCAGCTTTAGCTTTCAGCAATACTTGTAATAAATAAACTGCTCACAGGTAATTTACAAGCAACTAGTAAGATTACAATCATAATATATTAGGGATTAGAGTAAACACTAACCCTATCCTGTCTTGGCTCAGGTTGCACAACTTCTTGCCATTTGGCAGTGTAAGGCTCCAGAATAACCTTTCTACTGGTATCAGTTTTCTTGTGAACAGAAGTTCCTCTTTAGCTATGTTATAGACAGTGTTGAACTAGATGACCATTTCATTCACTTCCTTTGATCGATTAATCATCTAACCGCTGAAAAGAATTGGAGAGGGGCTCTGGGTTTTGGGTGATGCATCATTCTCTGTGGGTTTGTGCTTCTTACTGTCACTGTGCAACTTCAAAGTTTCCAGCTTAAACGGTATTGAGCCCATAGTAAGTTGAGAGTTGCCTGCATGGACGGGCCGCATTGCCTACAATGCAAACACACAGCAGAGCATTCCCCCCATACCACACCTACAGGTACTGCATTAGCCATTGTGGTTGAACGTAGTACACTGTCTTCTTCACTAGCTCAGTCGGTCTCTCCCTGCCTGCACGTATACTCTCATTATCAGTTGTGTCAGGACCTCTAGTTGGCTCTCCTCCTCCACCAGCCGCCTCCTATCTTTCCTCATTTTTTGAACACTGTTACAGCTAAGTGGATTGTTCCGTGTGAGCAGGGAGAGACCAACTGAGCCAGTGAGGAAGATAAACTACTACTCTCAACCACAATGGCTAACACAGTACACGAGCCACAGAGGCACCAAAACAGCCTGTCATCATGTATTCTCACACAAAATTTTAACTTGCACACTCTCAAAAAATTGGTCACATGAGCCCTGCAATGTCAAAATCAATACCTTCATATGAGTCTTTGTTTCCACCACTAAACTGCAATTTAAATTCGCTGAAAGCCTTCAATAATACACCAAAATGCTGTGTGTCGAACCACACAAACAAAGTGAGGATATCTTGGGATGTGAAACAAACAAGGGCTTAGACAGTAACACAGACCTGCTCTGTGAGCCATCTGCACACAGATGGCAATCTTGCGATGTTCCTCTGGGCAGAGACCAGTGATTCTCCTTGGTAACATCCCTCCATCTGACCTGATGAACTGACTGAGCAACAAGACATCCTGGGATTGAAAAACAACAAAAGCATCACTTTAGACAGCTGTTACTCTTTCAATATTATCTCTAGTTATTTGGTCATTGCATGCCTGTGAATGCCTTTACCGTGTAATTGTATTTGTGCTGCAGGTTCCACCTGTAGATGGGACATTTGGCTGAAGGGTTTGGAGGTTGTGGTCCTGGTGGAATGTCCACGATTTGTCCCTCAACCTGACAAAAGATGAACATTAGTACAGTTTGTCTAATAAACAAACAATGGTAGCTTCTTTGTCAGGTTCATGTTTTTAGAGTAGTGTGATTCATTGAAAGTGTTTCCCTTTTAATCCTGAGTCCCTCACCCACCCTAAAATATCTAACTGATGGTTTTAGAGGTGTGCCAATGCAGGTCAAAGTGGCCTCTCTTTTGGAAAACAAGGTGAAATGTATGCCTCTAATGTTTGTTTAGCTCTCATTGCAATTAGTGCCTTTTGGTGTTCTTTATTGCCATTGTCATGTTGCATCTAAAACCATCAAGACATTGGGTGAATATCACACATACAAGTTATAGAGGCTTATATATCCAACAACCAAAACACTATAGTAGATAGAATGCATGTACAGTCATTGTCAGTTTTATATTACAGCATGCTTTTACTTACAATTGTTGCTTTATCCTCTTGCTTCTCCACGACTGTAAAAAGACATAAAACGCATTAGATTAGCCATAAATTAATTAGTCATTTATCATGGACACAAATAGTGCAACTTCTATTTTTCTATACAGTCTTCCTAATCTGTGAAAGACATTTACAGCAATTATGGCGCCATGTGATACAACCTTTAATTTGTTTGATAGCAGGTAAATACAATTTCAGTTGAGTCACCAACTCAAATCAAACTTGACAAGTGGCGCTTATATGCAGTAAATCTTGACTCATTTGAGGCTACAATTAATGTGTATACATACATTTATGTGTAAATGATCAGATGTCAATAGGGAAGGACTTCCTACTTGAACGCATGGCTTCTGACATTTACCTAAAGTAATTTCTTTTCTTTAACATATTTTGTTGCATTTGCGACAAGGGTAAGACGAGGCAGTGCTTCCTCAAATGTGTATACTGTATGCAGGTCTTTCTGTGATGAAATAACTGCGCTGAGATGCCTAATATCACTGCCTTTACATCAACATGCTACCTAGCTAACACCGTGACAGGGTAAAAACGTTACGTTTACAGAAAGGTCTCACCTTGGCGGATCCCTCTACTCTGGATAGTTAAAGCAGACAGCTGGGGAACATTTATTCTTTGAAGGGTACTCGCGCTGGTCGCTGTACCGCCTAATTTTAAGCCCGCAAATGAGGTCCAAACAGACCTCAACACACTGCGAGCCGCCATGTTTAATTCCTGACCTTCGCCTTCGTCTCTTCCTGTCTGATAGTCTCGCGAGAATGAAAAGAGCGACACGCTCGGTGAAGACTTCTTATGACATAGTAGAAAAGCTCCCCATGCTACTCTGAACAATCTCGACAGAAAATAGGTTACAGAAGTACACAAATCAATATTAAATTGCAACCGTGCCAATGCATTATATTTTTTTGTATTTTATGAACTGGCTTGATAAAAATAAATCTTATGGCCAAGAGGAAATTCCTTTCAAAATCCAGATAAATATATTCATTGCTGGGCTTTATGAACCTTCATCAAAAGCTTTGCCTCAAAGGACCACATATTATGAGCCAAGATCTAGATGTGATTAACCACAAAACACACTGCGGCACAATATCAAACAAAATTAAACACAAGAGGAAAATACCTACAAGAATGTCTTTAAAACAAGACATATTGAAAAGACATTAAAACTCTATCTAAGACAGAGAGAAAAAGTAAAAAAAAAATGTCATCTAGATAAAGTTAGAGGAGCCCTAGAGGAGACTTTTCCAGGTATTTGTCTGCAAATAAGGTTTAAACATAACGTGCCAGTGCAGATGAAAATAAATGCTGCAGTCCGTACAATAAATTGCCGGATGTGTCTTAGGATCTAAGCGATTACTAGGAAATGCTTTCATCCTCATGTAGCTTTTCTTTAGATGCTCAGAGTTCATAACAAAGACATGGTCACTTTTCATACCTCTATTCATACCAGACTCATCTGATGAAAGTATGAGAGGCACCTAGAGGAGCAGTGTAGGAACATGCCAAACTTTTGTTGCAGAAAGCAAAAGATACAGGTAGATCCTTCATGCACAGATAAAGAGGCTCAGAGAAGATAAAGAGCTTGATGTTTGATAGTGTTATCATGAGAACACTGTACCATTGTCCAGCTGTGATGTTTTTGTTTGCTGTTTTTCAGGTTTTATCTCATGGCTTCATCCATTTGCATAAAGAAAGCATTAAGACAGCCAAGTCAACAATAGATGTACTTA